GCTGCTGCCGCCCAGCAGCCGTCGTGGTGGCTCCGCTGCACAGAGGCCTTGCCAGGATGCCTGCGGCTGCATCGTGGTGGAAGCTCAGCGCACGCCCCAAGGTCAGGCTTTAATTCTCCCCACATGTCTCTGTCTCACCGAATAGTGGTGAGGGAAGGAGACCGTGTCGCTGCAAGCTGCAACTCTGCCTTCCGCCTTTCAGAAGAATGAGGGACAGCCTCAGGTGAATGTAAATCCCTGCAGGGCCCTCACCAAAGTTTGTGTCTCTGTGAAATAATACGTGAGAGCAATGTGGTGGCTGAGTAAATATTTTTTCCTATCTTTTCCATCTTCCATTTTCTCCTATTCCACAAGATGGCATTGCAATCTACTCGCCCTTCGCAGGGACCCAGGTGGGTCTCCCCGATGTTCCCTTTGCCTTCCCGTGAAGGTTATGGAAGATGCTGAAAGCAGCACCTAGGCTGCCATAAAGTTAGTAGTAACTTTTTTTTTAAAGCTATATCTTAGCAAGTCACCAAGATACCTGAACCAAGAGCAGGGCTTTGCCGAATGAACCAGTCTGAGTTTTCTGGAAGTTGAGTTTGTTTTACAACAAGGCAGCTTGGATTATATAAGGTTTCCTCTAGAAAGGAATGATTCATGCGGGCTGTGGCCTTTTCCTGCCAGATTCTACGATCGCTCTGTTCTAAGTTATAGTTATTTTTGCCATGGATTTAATTTGCTTTATAAATTATGGATGGCAGTTACTCAGGTTTGTTCCTCTGACGTACGTTGTGTGTTTAGATGAGCAAGTCTCCATCATTTTTTTTTCTTCTTAGTGCAGTGGAGAAGTTGGTGTAATGTGACATTAAATCAACCTTTCCTGCAATCTGATTCTCAGAAAACTTACACCAATGTTCCTCCCGGGTGCTGCTCCGACAACTGCCTTGGTTCTGAGTCACCTGTCCGTGCTGGTGCGTGAGGAGCTTTCTGGGCCAGTTGGATTTTTCTGTGTGGCTTTTTTCCCACCTTCTCTAAGTTTCTTCCATTTTAAGCAATTAAGTAGAAGAGTTTGTATCAAGCTGTTATCATTGAAGGAGAAAAAGCTTCAGCTGAAGCTAATATGAATCTGCTGGAGAAACTGGGCTCGTCAGTGCCACCTTCAGAGCGTGCTGGTGCCCTGAGAGCTCGAATGGCCTGGGAGCAGCGGGAGCGCAGGGACAGCAGCGGATTGAAGCCGAACTCAGCTGCAGATAGAGGTCACCAAGATAAGAAGCTCCTATTGATTTACGTGGCCTTCCTTGCTCGTTAGAGGAGAGACCCAATTAAGGTCCCTGCCGGGGGAGAGCGTGCAGGGTGCGCTCGGCTCTCATTAGGCACCAGAGGGTCCGCAAAGCGCGTTAGGCCTTGAGACAAGGAAGGACGCGCAGCTCCGTCAGTGACGCCGAAGGAGCATCGTTTAGAAGGAGCAGTCCGGCAGTTGCAGTAGTTTGCTCAGTGAAGAGGTTGGATCTGTTTCGTTGCCTTTGCCCTCCTGCTTTCCCAGCCCATTAGCCACTTTTCCCCTCCTGTGCTCGCCCCGAGCCCCCACGCAGTAGCCGAGCGGGTCCGTCTCCTCCGCCTGGTTTGTGTGCTTTGAATGCCTTCTCCTTGTGCGTTTTGTATTAATAGTTTAAGCATTTGACCTGAAATTGCTCATGCTGAGAAGTTGGAATGGATTCAGCTGATCAAGGACTCTCAACCTAAACAGTTGTAACCAGTTTGAAAATATGTATGTTTTCATGTAGTTGCTTTTTATATTTCTTTCCAGGTGAGGAGCACTTACGGTGGTGAAAACTCTATGTGTTTTGCAGTACAGGAGGAGGCTCTCGGGTTATAGAACTGCTTCAAGATGAATTTCCAAAATAAGGTCATTTCCCCCACCCAACACCATTACTCCTGTTGGAATTTATAAACTTGTTGCCAGCCCAAGCTTGTCCGAGATACTTCATTTTGTCCTCGTGAAGTCCTTGTTCTGGCGTCTTTAATTCCTTTCCCCCTCTTGTATTTTATGCCCCCAGATATGGGTGTCTAAGAGATCACTCTGTGTTTACTCCCAGATGTGGTGTTTGGTTTTTTTTATGCTGAACAAGCATCTTTACCCTTCAGTCTCTTAAACTAATCTCTGTGCTCTCTGATAAGCCCCTTTATTTTGCAGTTCCTCCCAGTTACCCTCACCTCTCCTGCACACGAGCGCCGAGGGGCCGCAGGACTCGCTGCGTTTCGCAGTCACACGAGCTCTGCTCTGGTCCTGGCTCTTCACGGGCTCTCTGGGGGCTCCGCGTGTTGGTGCCCTGGTTCTGTGTTCAGCTCTTTGCTTGAGCCCTTCCCATTCTTCCATGTTATCACTTTCTTCCCAGCTCACAGCAAAACCTATTGTTTGTCCCAGATACGTGGCCTCCTCTTTTGCACTATTAAATGTCAAAGTTTCTCTTTTTAGTTCTTCCCTGTGTGTTATCCCAGCTTTCCTCTCTGCTGCTTGTGCTTTCCAACTTTGTGTCATCAGCAAATTTCATCAGCACGCTTACTTTTTGTGCCAAGATCATTAATAAAAATATTTAATAAGATCAGTCTCCTGACCGTTCCTTAAGGAACTCCACTGGTGACCTCCATCTATTGCGATAGCTCTTTCAACACTACTTCCTCTTTCACTGGTTTCCTAGCCTTACAGTTCAGATAATCCCCGTCTTTTACATTTAATAATTTCCCACATGGCAGTGTACCAAATGCGTTGCTGAAGCCTGCATGGATGGGATCTGTTACATTTCTTTGTCTAGAAAATTCATTATCTTAGGAGGCCAACCTGGCACGCTTGGTTTGATAGGATATTTCCTTCAGTAATCCCCCACTTTCTAACCTGTTTATTATTCAGTTTCATGTTCTAATTCCTTTTTTTCCAATTTGCTCTAGAGCCTTTCGTCCCGTTGAAGTTATGCAGACGTGTAGTTGCTCAGATGCCTTTCCCTGTCCTGGGTCAGTGATAAAGATGCTGCTCTTGTCCTCTGGTCCTGCACAGGCAGCCGCAGTTTGGCCAAGTGTTGTTTGCTCTGCTCTTGCATACACACCCCAGCTCATGGCTCCTTCACAGGCTCACCTCTTAAAAACGTGAGTTCTGTGGACTTTGGGCCTCCCCGCTGCATTAACTAGTGTGTCAGTGGTGACATTAGGGCCCCACAGAACTGTTGTGACCTCTCCATCCTCCCACCAAGCCCTGGATTCACTAACTGCAGCAGTGCTTGCTTGCTCTTGGTGTGCCTGGGTCTTCTGCACCCGTGTTGTCTTTCCTCATCTGCTTTTTTTGCTGTTTGTAGTGGTTCCCAAAGGATCTCTCTGAATAACTCTTCCATGGTCAGAAGAAAGGAGTGAAGCGGCACTGTGACTGAGGCTGCAAAACAAGGTGCTTTTTAGTAGCTGAGCCCTAAATTTTAAGACACCTAAACTGATGATAGAGGGAGCTGAAGGGTTCTAGAGACTCATTTGTAACATAAATCAGGCAGAGGCTCAAGTGTAAAGCTATGAAATGGCAGCCAGTCTAAATGCTCCTTTCCATTAGGAGAGAGCGTAAAGGAAGAGCAGGGACATAATACACTAGAGAGAGGAGGGGGGCATGGAGAGCAGCGGAAAGGGCGGGAGACACCTACTTAATTACATTTGCATATGCAGCTGTGCAAACAGAGCAACTTCATCAGTGCTTGCTCATACCTAGCGGGAGATTTAGAGCAGCTGTTGTCAGCCCATGGATCAAGATTGTGCCAGGCTGGTGGTAAAGCGAGCCCCGGGCGCCCTGCGCACCCAGGCTGCCCGTCACTCCAAAGGGCCAAGCAATTAGTTGTGTTTGAATATTTCGGGGGAGAAAATTGGGACAGTGTGAAATATCCAAGGGCAACTGCTTACAGCGTGGTTTCCAAGGATACATGTTGCAGAATTAAATCATTAAGTTATATTTCTGAAAATGGTGCTGAAATGTGTTAATTTGTACATTGCCAAAGCGGCTGAAACTTGCCTCCTTCTGCCTTTTCTTTCATAACAATCTCAGTGACAAAATAATTACTCTACCCGATTGTCAGAGTTGAAATACAGCGGTGTTCTGGCCTGGGGATTTCATGTCACGTCAAAAATAAATTAGGGGGAAATTTCTGGGTTAACCATTTGCATTAATTCCTATGACTTTGAAATTCTGCCTGAAGTTTTGGTTCCTGAACACGCAGTGAACAGTGAAGTCTTGAAGCCTCTTGTATTTATATAGAGCAAGTCATTTCAAGGCTCCTTTGGTCTCTTTATTGCTTGTTTATTGCTGGATCTCTGTTAGCCAGAGATACTGTCCTGAGCACACCGGGCATGTTGCTGTTGCAAACGCAGTGCCCAGGCAGTGAGCAAACAGCGTGTGCAAGACGGTGTCACTGGCCCCAGGCATCGAGGGACAGGACTGTGGGACGCAGCAGTGCTTGGAGGATGTGGTCAACGGAGAAATTAGTTTGCTTGGAAACAATTTGCTTCTTCAGGGCTTTTTGAGATACCTAGAGGATGCTGATCCTACCAAAACCTGGGTGTATAAATCAGCAAGGGCTGTCATCTCAAATCTTTTCTTTTGCAAAAATGCAAGGCCTTAATATAATCATCGCGGCCTTGCTAAAATATCTGGGCCCTTTTTAGGAATATGGGTTTTCATGTCTGTTTGGGAATGTTTCTGATGCTTAAAGGAAAAAAAAAAGTGTTTTAAGGTGAGAATCCAATCCGTTTGTGCAGAATTCATCTTGAAGCACCCAAATGGCAAAGTTAAGCTTCGAGCAAGAGCGCTGCAGGGACGGTGTGGGGCAGCTGGGGGCGGTGGGAGCGTGGTGTGGGGCCGAGCTCCGCTGCGGGGCTGCCGCGGGG